TCTCTTGATTCTTGTCCAAGAAAGTACAAATAATATTAAGACTGCCTTAATTTTTTGATCGTACAAAGGATGCAGAAATCCCATGTCCCTTCTGTTTAAGGAACCTGGCAATGGCTAAAAAATTGATAGGATCAAGTTCAGATTGGCCATTGCATTCAAGGCCAAAAAGACTTCATATAGAATTTGATTTGGGGAAGTTTGTCCAAATTATAAAAATATTTTGCACACTGCCTAAATAGGATCACTATTTAGCTATTATGAAACAATCCTCAGTTATTTATTTAACCAAAGTGACAATAAGAGATTTTAAAGGCAAGTATGGAAGGATATATATTTGTGAGTAAAACTTGGCTCTTTTTTAAAGTTTGTGTATTTTTGAGAGACAGAACATGAAAAGAGGAGGGGTAAAGAGAGAGGGAGACACAGAATCCCAAGCAGGCTCCAGGCTCTGAGCTGTCAGCACAGAGTCCCATGCAGGGCTCAAACCCACGAACCGTGAGATCATGACCAGAATGGAAGTCGGCCGCTCAACTGACCGGGTCACCTGGGTGGCTAGGTCAGCTGAGCGGCCGACTTCCACTCAGGTCGTGATCTCCCGATCCCCACGTTGGGCTCCGATGCTGCTGTCAGCGTGGAGCTCCCTTTGGATCCCCTGTCTCATGCTCTCTGTCGCCCCACTAACCATCTCAAAAATAAACATTAAAAAAACAGATGAAGGAAAATTAAGTTTTAGTTTTACAGAAGTATGCTACTGATTTTGAATCTCAATTTTTATAATCCTTGTGATAAATTCATCCAATTTCAGCCACCTTGACTATATAAGGCAAGATTTTCTGTGTCTCCCTCGGGGCGCTTGGGTGGCTCAGTCATTGAGCTTCTGACTTCCACTCAGGTTATGATCTCATGCTTTGTGGGTTCTGTGCTGACAGCTCAGAGCCTGGAGCCTGCTTTGGATTCTGCATCTCTCTCACTCTTCCTTTCCCCTGTTTGTTTTGCAAGGTCAGAGAGAGGGACAGAGAGAGAATCCCAAGCAGGCTCTGTGCTGTCAGCACTGAGCCCATTGCGGGGCTTGAACTCATGAACCATGAAATCATGACCTGAGCCCAAACCAAGAGTCCAACGCCCAACTGACTGAGCCACTCAGGTGTTCCATCTGTCCCCAAGTTTTTTGTACCATTTTGTCTTTTATTTTCTTTTTTCCTCTTCAGAAATAAACAGTTTTACTTTAGGACAAATTTACATTCTTTTCTCAACAAAAATGCATCTCTCTACTTCATACTGTCTCTTAGCCAAAAAAACTTCCGTCCCTTCTTGCAGTTTCTCTTATTATTTCCAGTAGCTTTAATTACAAATATTAATTAGAATTCTTAGCCCTTAGTAGCTTTAATGTCCAGTGAAAACTAAGAAATTTTTCATTGTGAATTGTTACACCAGCGTTCTTTAGATTGACAATTTTGTGAATATATTTCATAATTTCTGGAAACCAATATTTCCTCATAAACAGTTTTTCAATGTGGCACAAGACAGGTTTACTAACAGACTCAAAGCTCTTCAGTGCCTCTGGAATAGCAAGTCAAAAGTAGGTAAACTTAGGCTTGCTTAGGAATTAATAATTAATGTTTCAGTATTTCATCTTGTTTGGAAATGATCTAGACATTAAATGAATTCTCATCATTTAATTTTTAAAAATATTTTATTAAAAAATTTTAAAAATGTTTTATTTCTGGGAGAGAGAGAGAGAGAGACAGCGTGAACAGGGTAGGGTCAGAGAGAGAGGGAGATACAGAATCTGAAACAGGCTCCAGGCTCTGAGCTACCTGTCAGCACAGAGCCTGATGCAGGTCTTGAACCCACGAACTGTGAGATCATGACCTGAGCTGAAGTCGGATGCTTAACCGACTGAGCCAACCAGGCGCCCCTCCCATCATTTAATTTAACTTAGCAAAATTCTAAGGGTAAAAGCAATCAAAGATTTGGGAAACTATTTTTTAATAAACATACTGTAATACATAATTATTGCTGGAAAGTTGACCTAAAATCTCGTATTCCACTTAACATCTATCAAAATCTTTCTTCCACGATTATGTTTACACAACCCACAAAAAGCTTCATTAGACACTTCATTTCATTAGACAAAGCCAGACATCATCCCAAGCTACTTTTCTTGCTGACAACTTTTGCAAGAGATAACCCGAACTTATTGGACCTTTATTAAACCCAGTGAGAATAAAAGTATCACATTTAATGCTGGTATTTTTCAAGACATAACTGTTTTAATTAAGTAAAAAAAATCTTGAACTAGCTTTTACTTACCAAATAGTCTCCTAGATCACAAGAACTTGAGAAACATTTGGGTTAATTTCTCCTATATTTCTGAGAGTTTTCAGAATCCTTAATTTATATAAACACTTGTTTTTTTTAGCCACTGAATAGAGCCCTTTACGAATTAATTTTAGTAATATTAACAGAGGTAGAAATAAATCTCACATTTACAACATATATAGATCTATAGACACAGAGACCTTATAGCATTTGTTTTAAAATCTTAATTGTGAGGTGAGTATGTGAAGGCAAAACTCATGAATTTATAAAAGAGCAGCTTGGATCCAAATTTTGTTTGGCAGTTGGAGTTAAGTGTTCACCTGCTCAGAGGGCTGAAGCTTTTTACTAATAGTTGTGGAGAGGACATTTAAGATTTGTGTTTACATGTCAAGGACATGGTAAGATTTACTTCTTCAAGGGACGGAGAGAGAAGTAAGTTTTCTTCTAGGAGATTTTGTACCTTTGGATGGTTACCGCAGTCTTGGTAAAATGCAATAGTGCTGCCCTATAAATAGGGGAGCACCCTGTAAAAATACTTCTTTGGGGACACATGGGTAGCTCAGTCGGTTAAGCATCTGACTCCTGATTTCAGCTCAGGTCATGCTCTCGTGGTGGGATTGAGCCCTGCATCAGGCTTTGTGCTGACAGTGAGGAGCCTGCTTGGGATTCTCTCTCTCCCTCTCTCTCTCTGCCCCTCACCCTCTCTCTCTCTCTCTCTCTCAAAACAAATAAATAAACAAACATAAAAAATACTTCTCGGTGCACCTGGGTGGCTCAGTTGATTGAGCATCCAACTCTTGATTTTGGCTCAGGTCATGATCTCACATTTGGTGAGTTCAAGCCTCATATCGGGCTCTATGCTGAGTCTGGAGTCTGCTTGGGATTTTCTCTCTCTCTCTCTCTCTCAAAATGGATGGATAAACATTAAAACTAAAAACCTCTCTGGATTCAAGGTCAAATAGGGCCTCTTTAGGGTTGGAAATGGAAGATGGTTCATTTGGGCCATTGTGGTCATGGAGATGATAAACCCATTGGATCATGCCTGTTTTGTGCAGCAGGAGATGGGCTTCATCTCGATATTTTCCATGTGCTGGGAGCCTGAACGAGGATCACAGTAGAAGGATGAGCCCGGCACCAGGCCATCAATATCCAAGGGCCCTCGTCCAAATACGGGTGGCTTTAGGGGCCATTGCCTTCCCATTTCTTTCTTCTCACTAGGGGTCCCAATAACCCTGCCAACTTTCCCCTCAGTGGCAGGGATACCTCATGAGGTGTGCTTTTAGTTCTGACCAGTTTCAGGGGAAAGCTGAGAGGGCTCAGGATCTATGGTGTCTTTGAAGAAACCAACATAGAGCCGAGATGGCTCTTTAAGAAAGTCATGGATTTGGGGATTTTAAGAGATACCAGCCAGTTGACACATTTTGACAGCTGTGCATCACAATGCGGAGCCTATTCCACACACACCAGAAAACCCACAAGAGCCAACTGGTTCCCCTCTCTCCTTTTGCATAAAATCTTCAAGAAAGATTTGAATTTCAGTTAAGGTATAGCTTTTGATCTCAGTTTTTGCTTCTTGTTTTTCTCCTATTCCCTTGACCTTGTTGTTGCTGGAAAATTTTGGATGGTGTCCCAATGAACCCTCTTCATAGGTGCCCACTTTCCTTTCCAGGGTGTCCCAAGAGACCTCTTCAGGATTAGGCTCTACCTCTGCTAGTACAATATACACCGGGTCTTTGGGAAAAGCCCTCATTTCTCAGGAGCCCAATGGTAAAGTCTTGGCTTGCTGGTTTGCATGGCACTGAATAGAATAGGAAAATATCTAGCATCCATGAAGGTCTGCATTTGTCAAGGAGCTAGGGTACCTCCCCAGGGTAGGTTGAGATCATCTATACATCCATTATTATTTTTAATAGTATCACACTGGGGATTGGACCTAGAATATCTCATCCGATCAGGGGATAAAGAGTGACAGAGCTGAGTGAGCTGGTGACATAGACACTATAGGCGTCAGTTGTATTTTCCCTCCGGTGGTGCCACTGATTTCTGGTTGCAAGGCTATTGCACTCTTCAGGTTAGAGCTCGTAGTCCACGCACGACCCACGGACTCAGTGGTCACCCGTCCTCCTCCCTATGGGAATCTTTTCCTAAGTGTCCAGCCCAGAGCCACTCCTCTGGTACTGACGATAGCCTAGCTATCCAATCCAGCCTCCTTAGCTCTCCTCGGCCTTGAAGTATAGCGGACCCTTAAGCACATGAGAAGTCAATGAAGGCCTTCGTAATTAGTGGTCTAATGGTCTCATTAGACCATATGGTCTTGATCATGCTGCTCTGGGGAGATCACTGGATAATCACAGCAGCTGTGAACTTCTGGGGGGAGGGATACCTCAGGCAACATACCACAGAGGCTGTATGCAAAAGCACGTAGCAGTGCGACAGACCCCCGGCGAGCCGTGTTCCTTCTCCAGATGGTGTCACCCACCTGACTTAGGTACTTCGTTAAGCAAGTGGCAGGTAACAAAGGCATTCCCCTGGGTTAACTGCAAGGGCAATCATGCAATTCTGCCAGCTTCACGATTGTTTGGTGCTGGTCTCAGCCAGTCAATAAGCAATGGGGACGGTCCCTGTGGTTCTTATGATTGCAAAACACCCTTTAGCAATAACCATCAGGAAACTTTGAAAAATAAAGGTTTATTACTTACAGGATCTGGAAATTACACAGCGCACCTGGGGTCACACAGCGATGTGGGGAGTCGGGGGGGGGGGGACCAGAGAGGGAGGGAGGGAGAGAATGAGAGCACACACAGGCCTGCGGATCTGCTTTTACTGGGGCCCAGGGTTTTGCAAGCTCACTCTTTACTGGTGAATTCAAAACACAGGCGTGGAAATGTAAAGTGTGGAAAGTGAAAAAAAACCAAATGGCCCAAATGATCGGTTATTGAAATCAATCAAGATCTTTAAGACGAAGGGGTCTCAGACGGGAGAGGCAGCCTGTTTGTCCGGCCGTGCGGCGGGCAATCTCTGAAGTGGAGGCTTCAGCCATCAAAGCTAAGTCAGGCACTAGCCTTGCAAAACAGAAAAGAACCCCAGCCGTCAGGGTTTCCCCTATAGTGTCTTATTCCCATTTTTAATGAACTAACACACAGTTCAGGGCATCAGGCCCGCCTAATTACATTAGAAACCACTGGGGGGTGAGAAGACACACTGTCCCCAACCTTTCCTTACGGGGACAAAACAGGAGGAATTACCCCCAAGGAGATGGGTGGGACAGAATCCACAGTAGAAGAGACAAGGTTTGTGACCGCCATCCTGAGCCCTGGGGTGGGGGTGTTGGTAAGGGGAGGGGAAGGTTCTTTCAGCCCTAACCTCCCGTAATTGTTAGTTTATCACCTTCATCAGAGTCAGTTTACAACACCTGGGCAGGGATCAGGCTCTGGGGAAGGCACAGCACCACTGATGGGGCTCTGAGCCAGGACCCTGTATCCACCAGCCCCCTTGGGGATGAAGCCCTGGGAAGCCAGAGTTAGGAGGGTGACCTGGCTTCACCTCCAGGAGGTCTTACCTGAGTCGGGTGCTGGGAATCCAGAGGGCTGGCTGCTCCTCAGGAGGGGAGGAATGAGCTTCTCAGTGTCAGGGACTGGGGGAGGCTGTTAATGACCCTGATTACCCGGGTAAAAGCTGGGTGGCGCCCCCATGTTCACAAGCTGGGAGCATAGGGTGCAGATGGTGGGAAAAGGGCCCTTTCCCACAGCATGCCCCACTCCGAGGCCAACTGCCGGCAGTCCCTGGGGATTCCAGAGCCAGGCTCGGGTGCAAATGATCCTTCGTGCCCTTCCATGGGGACTGGCGGTCTTGGCACAGGGAAGAGGGAATGCTCGTCTGTTTTGTCCCTCAGCCCAGCCTACACTTTCCTCCAGAGGAAGGCTGATTTGCGGGATCAAAGCTTCGCTGCCTGTCGTGGGTCCCGGAGACGTGTGGTTTTCCAAATCCCTTCAGGTGGCCCATGATGGGAGTCATACCCCCATGTCCCCTGAGTATAAGTGAAGACTTACTACTGTCCCTTAAAGTTGTGGCCCGTCCATAACCCCAAAGGTCACATGGAGGTAGAAGGCCCTGGAAGGGGGACAGGATGGGGTGCTGCCCTTCCCCTACTCCCCAAAAGCTAGTGCTCTTCCAGAGAAACTAATTGGCTGTTCCCATGGAGTCCTTCCTCCCTCGGGGAGGACAAAACCCAGACACAGGAAAGGGGGTTGAGATAGGTTTGGCAACTTTCTGACATCACTGGAAAACACTGGCTCTATTTCAACCACCAGATCGTGAGCAGGTTTGTAAACAATATCTCCTCCAGACTACCTTTCTCAGGGTCCAGAGAGCTGCCCTGGGGACTCTCCCTGACTGAGCCATGCCCGGGTCCCCAGAGGAGCTCACACTCCCCAGAGGAGCTCACACACCCATGCTGCTCTTCTCATCCTCTTTGGGGCTGGGTTCTTCCTGAATCTTCTTCATCTCCCAGCCCCTGACCCAGGTGTAGGCAGAGGAGCCCCCCAGCACCATCATGTTGCTTGTCCACCAGAGGAAGCTCTTGGTCTCCTCGTAGTAGAGCACAGCCAGCACTGTCTGGGCACAGGCTTTGGCTGTGCCGGACACATTATGGGTCAGGGGGCTGGTGAACTTGATCTGTAGTCCTGTCACATAGCCGATGGCAAAGCCGAACAGGCCACCCAGTGTCATCATGCCCCAGAAGTGGCCGCTGCCCAGCTGGGAGAAGTTACGGAGGGACTGAAGCTCCCCCAGCAGCAGAAGCAGAGGCAGGAAGAGAACGCAGGCATTGACGTTGTTGTAGAAGGTCAGACGCCAGATGCTGCCGTCCACTGCCGGGAGCACCTTCTTGGTGTAGATGGCGTTGAGCGAGACACAGAGGCTGGCCAGCACGCCAAAGAGGGTGCCCGTCCAAGACAGGGTACCCTCTGCCCCCTCTTGGTCCACACCAAGCCAGAAGCCACCTGCAGTGGAGAGAGAGGAGGGGCGAAGGGGATGAGGATGGGGAGGAAGGACAGAGAATTTTGCCACCAAAGGCCACTGCCTGTACTGCCGCCCTCGCCATCCCGTCCCCCCTGCCCTCTCTGCAATAAATATGTACAAACTCTTTAGTACATGCAAAGCACCATACAGGGGCTGGGGAAGTGGCTCAGGACATCAATGCTTTCTCGGAAGCTTACATTCTAGCAGAGGAGAAAGACATCAACAGGATTCATTTCCCAATTATTTCTTTAATTACAATGGTAATGAGGGCCATAAAACAGTGCGGCGTGCTGGGAGAACCCAGAAACCCAGAACCGGGCGACGGTGCTGGCCTGGGGCACCTGGAAAGTATTGGTGGAAATAAGCTCCCAAGGGCTGAGTGCTTAGTGGTTAAGGTGACCTTGGGCAAGTGATCTAAGGTCTCGGAGCCCTGGCTTCCTTGTCGGTAAAATGGGGGCCTATAATGAGTTAGCATCATTTGTGGCCTGAGGTCTTTTGGGACAGTCACTCTTTCTGACATTCTCCTCTTGTGGTTCCCACAGCCCGCCATCAAGTCTACACCCCTCAGCCTGGCACGCTGGGCCTTCCGCACCCTTGCCTGTCTCTGTCCCTCGATTGTCCCCCAAGTTGTCTCTCTCATCTCCCAGCTTCTCAGGCTTGGACTTAGTGTCCTTGTTCACTTCCTGCACCAGAAAGACCGTCCTCCTTTCTGGGAGATTCTACTCATTCTTCAAGGTCAAAGCCGGCCTCTCCAGGTAGGAAGTCTTTCTTGATAGCCCCAGCCCGTAGACCAACTACAAGGCCCCTTGCCTGTCCTAGGCTGTGAGTCACCTGCCCACGGGGATTGTACCACCTCCTTAGCCAGACCCCACCTTCCCAGGAGGCAGGGGCCGAATCTTAAACATGTCATACCCCCTGCCACAGCATCTGGTAACATGGGGGAGTAGGCAAAGTTTTGGTGTCAGAGAGATTTGGGATCCAATGGGGTTCTGCCATTTAGAGGCTGCATGGCCTGAGGAAAGTTGGCTTAACTTTTCTGAGCTCCCATTTCCTTCGTCTGCAGATACCTGGTCACTTCCTTGCCCCCCCCCCCCCCCCCTCCCCAACTCCAACCAAACTACTCTCCACTTTACAACTGGAATGATCTTCCTAAAGTTCAGATAGATCTGCTCAGGGCCTGTCCTGGCTTAAAGCGCCGCCTCACCTACTACCCTCGGGAAACATTCCAGACTCACTTAACTTGGGTGGCTTCCTGTCTGGTGAGTCCCGCGATGGCCCAAACATGAAGAAACACACAGGTACTTTCTTCTGCCCAGAACATTCTCTCCTCACCCCTTCCTTATACCTATCTAGTACTGCCTCCAGCACTCCTGCTGAGATTACCCTAGTCCCAACCCTGCCTCCGTCCCCACCCCCACCAGGGTTCCTGCAGCACCTGCTATACCCCCATTGCAGCCTCACCCCTGAAGCATCTTACTGCACTTACTGCCCTGCATCATCACTGTGCCCTCCAGGAGCCCAGGAGCCCTGCCCACCTTTGCCACATTTGTACCCCAAAGGTTGGCACCATCTCTGGCAGGTGCCTGGTGGCTGCTCATGTTTGCTGGCTGACTGAATGGAAGCATGCATGGAGGTTGATAAGGTACCTGCTAGGTAGCAGGCACTCACAGGCAGTATTCTGGGTCTTGGCGGAGCCTTTGCAAACAGGTATCTGTAGACCCACCCTGGGGTGTGGAGGGTTAGTCAGAACCCCATCTCCAGCCCCGGCCCATTACCTTCCAAGTCCAGAAGGGACCCCCACCCCAAGGCTCTACACCCTAGAGGGACTCACACCCAGTACTGGGAAAGGAGGAAGGGCCCTGGGATAGTCACCTGAGACCCACCTTAAGGGGAAGCACAGCAGAAAGGGGGCCAGGCCTGGGGCCCCTGCACCATATGTGTGGCCAGTGAAAGCACTTTCTCTGAAGCTATCGCACCATCAGCTACTTTGATTACTTTTAGGACTTGGGCCCAGTTTCCGGAGTGACTTCACCTTTCTTTATGCAAATTCTCCCACCAGGAGGCTCCCCTCTCCCCACCATGGGGTCTGTGGGGCTGGAGTGGAGGTCCCTGAGGCATTTGGCTAAGTGAGGCCTGGGACTCTGCATCAGCTCTGGGCAGGGGTGAGGTAGCGTAGGGTGAGGGGGCAGCTGAAAACTTGCCAGGGGTCTCAGCAGCTCCTTCTACTCTAACCTTGGCCTTCTCCCCTCTTGGACCTGGACTGAGCAGCTCTATATCCAGCAGTTGCTCCATGACGGTAACATTTTCTAGGACAGACGGCCTGGGATGGGCCCCTCCCCTGCAACCAGTGTGAGTCGGCCTGGGACTCTGAGGCACCTGCGAAAATGTAGGTCAGCCAACATGAACTTTATAGCCCCAGGAAAAGCCTGAACAGGTCTGACACAACCTGGATGTCACAACCCGGGGAGGATTCTGAGGGAGGTGGGTGCATTCTTACCGGGAGTGCTGCAAAACCCCTTTTGTGGCGACAGAAATGTTCTATAATCTGCACTGTCCAATACTGTAGCCACTGGTCACCTGGGGCTACTGAGCCCTTGAAATGTGGCTACAGAACAGGGTTGTTAACACTTGCAACCGAGAAACTGAATTTTTAAAATGTCATTGAATTTGAATGAATGGAAATAGACATGTGGTTGGTGGCTACTGTGTTGGATAGTGCAGCTCTAATCTCTAGGGGACAAGAACAGAGCAGAGGGGTTAAAAGCATAGGCCCGGGAGTCTGGCCAATTTGGGTTTGTGCCCCAGCTTGGCTACCTCCTAGCTGTGTGGCCCTGGGCAAGTGACTTAACCTCTCTGAGCTTCAGTTTCCTTGTCTGTATGGAGTTGATCGGGGTGATGCTACCTCCCAGGGGACCTCTGGGGAACCAGGGAGATGCTATATGTGAGTGCTTGGCCCAAGGTGCCCATTAATTCTTATATACTAAGGGTCAAGTGTGGGAAGACAGCTAAGACCTCTCAAAGCTTATTTCTTGCCACTGTCTTAGCCATTCCTATGAGCCTACAAGGTCAGAGGGGGACGGTGTATTTATTACAAGATGCATTCTCTGGGAATAGCGCTGGATGGAGAGTCAGGACACTTGAGCCCTTGAGAAGCAATATAGTGGTCAAGCATAGGGAGCCCAGACTGCTTGAGATCAGATCCCAGCTCTGCCGCTTATTAGCTGTGTGATTTTCAACATATTATCTCACTTCTCTATACCTTGAATTTTCCCCTCTGTGAAATGAAAGGTAGATTTAAAGATGGGAATCTTGTTCTGTGGGGCCCTGGCTGGGCCCCTGACTTGCTGGGTGACCTCAGGAAGCGTACTCTCTCTGGGCCCCAGGCCCTTCCTCATCTGACATTGCAGCCTGGGAGCTGGGACGGATAAAATCCAAAGATGCCTGGCGGGGTTGATCTTTGGGGGTTTCGGGCCCTGTGCCCCACACCCCCACTCCCCCTGGCCCTGGCTGGCCACTCACCGATGATGACGCCGCAGGTGAGCAGGGCATAGAAGGAGGTGGTTTGTTTCAGCAGCAAGTAGGACAGCAGCACATTAAAGACAGTGGTGAGTGAGCGGCCCACGTTGTAGAAGGCCACGCCGACGTACTTGAGGCAGAGATTATTGAAGGTGATCATGCCGATGAAGACCACGGACAGGGGCAGGACACTGCGGGCCACCCTGAGGTCCAGGCGCAGGGGGGGAAAGTCCATGGCACCAGGGCAGCAGGCAGCTAGGATGCTGAGGCTCTTGCACAGCAGCGTGGTCACCAGGCACTGGTAGAAGGTGACGAAGATGGGGGTGTCCAGCTGTAGGGAGGGGCTGTCCAGCAGGTACTTGTTGAGGAACACCATGGAGATGGAGGTGACCCAGTAGAGAGACACCACCAGTGTGATCTGCAACGCCCGCAGCAGGAAGGGCTTCTCCTTGCTGGCCTCTGCCTCTCCGGAGGGGTCGGAAGACCCCATCAGTGCCATGTGCAGGATCCTGGACCGCTTCAAAGGGGCCCTGTTCATGGTAGCAGAGGAAGTGGGTCACCCTACAGCCAGAACCGGAGTCCAGGGCAGTCAGCTCCTGTCTGCTTTCTGCACGCCACAGCCCTCAACTGTCTCATGGGGGAAGGACCTAGAGGCCTCCCTTGGGTGGAGCCCCACAATCTGCTCCCACTCTGAGGGGGCTCATGAGACAAGACACAGGGAAGGGGTGAGGGACAGGCTAAGGTCTTCTCTCGGGCCTGATAGGGATGGGTCTCAGGAAGAAGGGAGGGGCGAGGAAAGGATGGAGAAGGGGGAGGGGGAGGAAGGCAGGGCGAAGGTGCTGGAGAAGGGCGGAGGACAGCGTGGGGAAGAGATGCAGAGAGAGGGAGGCATGGGCCTGGGCGAAAGGGTTTGCAGGGAGAAAGGGGAGGCATGCAGGAAGCTGAACGGAGGCAAGGCGTGCGAGGGGTTTGGAAAGAGGGGTGCAGGGAAGCTCAGAGGTGCTCGGGGCGGGGGTCCAAAGGACGCGGGAGGAGGCCGGGCCTGCCGAAGCCCGCGGCACACAGCCCTTCGGAACATTCGCTGCCGTTCAGCCCGGAGCCTCCGGACAGCAGAGGCCGTTCTCCCCAGCGAGGCGGGCCCAGGACTCATTTCCTGACACGCCCCCGACCCCTCCTTAAAGGGACCGCACGCCCGGCGTCACCCTTAAAGCCACAGCCGGCCAGAAACATTCTTCCGAGTCAGGCTTGCGTCTGTGCCCTCGCCTCCTCTAGGCTCCGGTGCGCTCCCTGCCCGGGGATAGTGGGGGGTGATCGGCCGCCGCAGAAGGTTCCTATAGGTGCTTGGGCCTCCACCCTTCTTGCAAGCCTCCCCCCGCCCCCACCACCTCTGTCTTGTCCAGAAGCTGAACTGCCCCCGACTTCGTAGGTCCACCGCACCACCCGTCCCAGGCCCGACAGCAGCCCCAGAGCCTTAGCGGAGCCTCGCATCCCCCGGCGTCCAGAGACTTCCCTACGAGCCCTCCCTCCCTCTGCTAGCCCCACCTCACTCTCCCAGGGTGCAGTCCCTGCCTTTCTCCCCCACTTTCACTTCCCCTATCCCTATTTCAAGCAGGAGACACCCCGCGACGCTCCCTGAGGCCGGAGGCCCACACCACCCCTTCTGGATTTCAATCAGCGCGCGGGATCTGTCCCCCACCCTCATTCGAGCAGAGCCGGATCGGAGCCACAAGGCAACAACCACCCCCTACCCCCTGGGCTCCTTCCCCCTTCCAAGACACCCCTTCCTCAAGCCAGGCCCAGCCACTAGCTTTGGCCCCGGGGCCTCGGCGACCCCGCGCTCACCTCCTCCTCTGCACTGGCCGCCCGCCCGCGTTACCTAGCGCCGCACCTGCAGCACTGCGCCTAGGGCCGCGCCCAATGAAGACGACTTCCTGCTCCCAGCCCCGGGGCGTGGGCCCCAAGCCAACCTCGCTGACCCGCTCCCCACGTGGGGCCCGGAGGCGGCGGCAAGCGACCCGGCCCCTAGCCTGAACTTGGCCCTGGGTTGTCCCGCCCCTCGTGGGAGCAAGCATACTTCTGTTTGCAAGGCCACCCCAGCCCTGGTATCCAGCCCGCCCGCGATCCCTCGCTCCAGTTACCGCCTCTTGCATGTCCCGGGACCCGGCTTCATCCCTGGCCCGCCGCGCACCCAGCCGGAGCTTCCAGAAGTGCTTTTGAGAACAGCCCGCATTCTTCCTGCGGGTAGTGAGCGGGAGAGTAATCCGCTCTCTCCCAGGGCCTGGGCCTGGGAAGTCGGTCCCCAGCCCGAGTTCGTCTCTCACCAGGCAGCCTGGAGGGCCGATTTCTCTCTGGTTTGTGCTCTAGCACCAAAGTTGGGCGTCTCACTTTGTTCTTTGTTGTGAAATAAAGAAGGGGGGTGGCGGGACTCTACCAGGGGGTCCCAAACTTCTTGTTCCTTACTCTAGCTGGTATGGCTGAAAGTAGGGACTCCCATCTGTTTGCAGTATTCCAAACACCATTTAATTAGTACCATTTACTGTACAAGTGAGATGCCTTAGATTTGCTTTAAAATACTCAGAATACTTACCAAAGAGAAAAAAAAAAAGAGGTGGGTAGATAGATAAAGTAAGATAGGCAAGTTGGGTGTAAGTACATGGGGGGGGGGGGTTTGTAAGGGTCATTTTGCTTTTGTGCACATTTGAAAATTTCTGTAATAAAAGGGTAAAGTCTATGGAGTACATTTAAAGTTTCACATGCTAACTGCAAAGCCCTGGCCCCAGCTTAACACAGCCCTTGGTGTACTCTGTGGAACAGGAAGGGTTAATAAGCCCCAAGGCAGGTGCAAATTTCCCAGAGTTGAGCTCTGCCCCAGGCCTTTTCTTTTCCACCAGCCCTCTGGCCTTTGCTCCTCGGTACCTGCACTCCCCCTTCCTCCAGAGAGGGGACTTCCTGCTTCTTAGTTATGCTAGCTCCCAGCTGGAGAATGCCATCGGGTCACCTTTTTGCCTTTGGGATCAAATTACCCTTTGGGGAACAGAAAGACTTAAAGGGACTGAGCTGGTCATCAGAATCCTACTTGGAGAGTCTCATTCCAGGGCCAAACTCTGGAGGCTGTGGGGTTTAGTTTGTTAAGGGCATTGCCTATTTGCTCTTCTCTCTTAGGGCTGATATTTCACTTTGACAAATAATTTAATGACAAACAGGGCAAACTTGTCTGTGAGAGGCCCTGGTTTCCTGGAAGGGCCCTTCTCCTTGGCAGAGTAACAGAATTAATTTATCTAATGAATGTGCTGCCCCTTTGCACCCCTAGGGAAGAGATACATGCTATATATAAGCCAGATGCCCTTCACTGAGAGAGACGGGCAGTCCATGCCGGGTATGTGGGGCATAGTCTGGGCGCTCAACCATCCAGGTAACCGAAATGTATCCCTGTCTCCAAACTCTCCCCTTACCTTGTACCTGAAATTCCTCCATTAACTTCACTCCCCTGCATTAAGGTTGTAATAGGCCAGTACTCCAAGTTTCTCAGATTCTAATCCGTTTCGTTCTACATGAGGGAAAGGAGGAGGGATGTGTTTCTAAGGTCTAAGGCCTCAGGAGGTGTGTACTTCGTAAAACTGGTTTGCTTTTGAATTTTTCTTAAGGAATCTTCATTGTTTAAAGCATTCATCGAGAGTGTGGTTTTAGGCCTTGTCAAGAGTAATTACCTAGTGGGTGTTGAACTTGGTGTGAGGCAGAACGTAAAGTCATCATCCTGGCAGGTGGAAGGCTGTAGTAATCCAGGAAGGAGGGCCCTTTATGGGTGTTGCTCTATTCTTGCCTTGGCTGGGAGCCACTGAGGACGTTAGAAGGCGATCTCTCCCAGACAGAGTGAACAGAACTGACCTCTCAGGTCAGTTTGACCTGAGTCAATGACCAAATGACCAAAATGACCAAAGTCATTTTCTCCTGTTTGTCCAAAGTCATTGGATGGTAGCTAGTCCTGGGGTTGCTTAGCCAGAAGCTGTTTCCCAACCTCCCTTGGGGGGAGGTGAACCATGTGACTTAATGGATGGTTAAAAGGAGGTGATGCCTGCTCCTTTCCAGATCTGAGCTGTACAACCTCAGGTGTGTGCTCTAACGTGCTCTTGTCTCTTCTTTCCATAACGTGGGACCCAAATGTGTGTATAACCTGGCTGTGACCTTGCAGGCAAGGTGAATGTCTTAGGGGCTATGGGGGCAATATGATGGAAAGAACCAGAGTCCTTGATTGGGTGGACCAAAGACACTTGCCAGCATCGACTGACTACTTGGAAACTGTTATATAAGAGGGAGATCAACTCATGGTTTTTATGTACCCATGCGGTTATCAAGGGATTTCTGTTACAGCAGCAGCTACTCCTTTAGCCACATACCCACTGTAGTCTACATTCCCTTCCTTTCACATACACATTCTTTAGGCAAAATTGAGATGACATGACATAATTATTCTGATCTGACTCTCTCTTTTTCTCTCTCAGTTTATGATCTCTCTATCCCTCCCTCCCTCCCTCCCTCCACCCATCCATCCATCCATTCATCCTGTCCTTATCCAGGACCTAGCACGTCTTTCCCATAGGAGATGCTTAGTACCGATTTGTGGGATGAATGGAAGTCAGATCCCTAGAAGACGTGCTTGAAAATCGAGGCCAACTGAAGGTCCTAAGCCCTGAAAGTTTATGAGGCTCCTTATTTATCTCATATGTAATTCAAAATAAAAATTATCAGTAAGCTGTAAAATAATAAATGCAAGCAGAGCAAAAAGTGTTCAAATTTTTCTTATGAAGATTGGACTGTTCTTTTGAAAATAATACATTCTTTCCAGAAAAAAAATGAAGTCCTTCCTCTGCCGGTACTTGCGGTAGATGCTACGAATTGTCTATCCCAGGACTTGGCAAACTTTTCCTGTAAATGACCAGAAAGTAAATATTTCAGACTCTGTGGGCCATATGGCCTCTGCAACAACTACGCAACACTGCTGTGGTGGTGTTGTAAACAAAGTGTGTGGCTGTGTTTCAGTACAACTTGACTTATAAAGGTAGGCTATGGGCCAGGTTTAGTTCACTGCTTGTAGTTTCTTGACCCCTGTTTTACCCTATATTAATTTATCCTTCTTTCTTACTAACATTACCCGTATTTTATTTGTACGTCAATGTTTCCACCTAAGAATACCTACTCCCCAGACGCCCTTGTAGCTGGATGTGACCGTGTGACATACTTTTAGCCAGTGAGTCATTAGCCGAGGATTTCTGGGAAAGCTTTGCTTTCTTGATATAAATATAGTCTTTATTGCATCTTTATCTTATATGTTCTGTCTTCAAGGGACAGCTGAGGTCTGGAAGGGCAGCATCTTGTAACCAGGAGACGAAAGATATGAGGAGGAAAGTTTAGGATGGCAGAGAGGAAACCTGGAGGTGAGCTGTCATCTCAGCACTTGGCTGCCTCTTCCTTACTGTAGGAGATTAATAAACCCCTATCAGCAGAAGCCATTGCATAGCGGTATTCTATTTTTTGTAGGCAACCATAGTCCCAGTTGAGACAGTGCTCTGATGGGTAATTCATTGTTGCCGGAACTCATGTATAAAGTACCAGGAAGGCCTGGGACTGGCTGGTACTGGGTCTGAGCCAGCAATGTAGGGGGTACAATTATCAGGCAGTGAACTCTAGCTGCAGAGGAAGACATGGGGTGGAGAATTCAGAAGGCAGGGCCCATTTGCCGGATAAGAATGAAGAGTGGGAGAGCCAATGTCAGGATGGGCAGATCCCAAAGCGTGGCATGCATGGCCAGGGACAGGGCTTGTTAGCAAAAACAAGTCCCAGTGGGGGAGGGGGTGGGGAGAGTGCGAAACAGCAGAGGATTAGCAAGGAGCCAGATGCTCTTTAACAGAGTGTTTACCTCAACAGAGCCGCCACCTTTATTTCCTGGTCTGGCTTCTGTAAAGCACCTAGCTCTGGACTGCGCAGCCCTTTTGGTTTCTGTGAGATCTAGAATCACCCCTGTAATATGCATCTGGCTAATCTATGAGCAGGAAGTGTTTCCCCCAGATGAGCAGAGAATCTGTGGGGACTGAGTGACAGT